GCTGGGGCGGGCACACGGCTAGCGCTCTGCCCGCCCTCTGACCAATCAGACGCCGCACCGCGCGTTCAAACCGGCCAGTCAGGAGGGGGAGCGGTGAGATTGGCAGCGGGATTGACCAATAGAGGAGCGAGAGGGAGGGCACGGAGGCTGCCCGTTTGCCGTTGGCGATGGGCCATGGTGGGATACACTGGGATATACTGGGATACACTCGGAAACACCGACACACACTGGATACACTGGGCAGACCCTGTGAACCCACTGAAGTACTGCTACACACTGTGCAAGCCCCAGGGATTCACTGGGACCCGTTGGACTGGGGCACTGGACGGAGCTTGGACATGCACTGGGATACACTGGGAATCAGTGGGATACACTGGGCAGATCTTGGACACCCACTGGGATGCACTGGGGGTCACTGGGATATACAGGACAGAGCCTGGACATGCACTGGGATACACTGGGAATCACTGGGATATACTGGGAATGCCTCAGGAACCCACAGGAATACACTGAGCAAGACCTGGCACTGGGATATACTGGAACACACTGTTCTAAGACCTCACTGACATGGAGACGTGTGGCAGGGTGTCCCCTCCCAGTTACCACCAACCCCAAGGGGACTGGAACCCATTCCCAGCCCCTGCTCCCATTCCTGTGTATGTCCTCTCAGCCCCTTGCTGCAGCTGGCCATGTCCCCCCAAGCACAAAGCATAGTGTCATAAAAAACCAACATTTTTATATCTTTATTTCTGAGTGGTGATGGCTCCAGTGGAGGTAGGAGGCTGCAGGCACAACCCAGCATTGCCCCATGGCACAGGGATTTGTGGGGTGGCACAGCCTGGCTGTGGACCTGGTGTCCCCTCAGTGCTCCCAGGGACATTCCCCAGGCCTAGAGGAGCACCTGAAGCTCCTGCTTGGGTGTCACCCTTGTCACCACATGTGCCGGTAAGGAAAAGCCACCTCGATGCAGAGCACGGCCAGTGGTGTGGAGCAGTTGTGCCTCTGCCCAGCCAGCAGCCTGCCCTCCCCCAGAGCGCTGGCCATGCCCTGGGCTGTGCCAGAGCTGCGCCAGCCCTGGCAGTCCCAGCGGCGGGCATGGCCACCCCGTGGCGTGGAGCCGTGCCAGGCTAGCCGGTGGGGCCTGTGGGTGGGGATGAGGTGAGAGGAACACCCTGGTGCACCCCTGCTCTTTGCTCCTGCATTTCTGCAGCGAGGGAGCCAGCACAGACCCCCCAACACAGCCACCCTTCCAGGACCTTGTCCACACTCACCAGAGGGGATCTGCCAGGACGTTGCGCCCGTTGAACGAGTAGATGGGACCCCGCAGGGCAGCACCCCCAAAGAGGGAGCTCCAGGACTTGGCCAGCAGCTGCCCCTGTGGGCACAAGCCACTCTGCTGAGCCAGGGGAATGCCCTAATCCCCAGCCCTAATCTGGGTTCTGGGTGCTCCCCAAATCCCTGAGCACAGCCCCAGGGCTGGCGGGGGTCCCTCACCCACTGCAGCTCATGGGGGCTGTGAGGTTTGTCATCCCCAGCCCCAATCCCCATTCTGTGGGTTCTGGGTGCTCCCCAAATCCCTGAGCACAGCCCCAGGGCTGGGTGTGGGTCCCTCACTCACTGCAGCCCATGGGGGCTGTGAGGCTCTGCCTCACCCTGGGGACGGGGTACCTGCCTTGAGGTTGATGATGGGGAGGGTCCTGTCTGTCCTCTTGACGATGGACAGCAGCTGCTGGCTGGGGGCTGACAGGAAGGCCCGGAAGGTTCCGTAGAGCCCGGCCTCCTGGGACTGCCGGTAGCACTGCAGGTCAGCGCCCCGGATCCCGCTCATGTCGCCCCACAGGGGCACGTTGAGGGCAGCCAGGCGGAGCTGGGGGTGGCACGGAGGAGTTGAGGTCTCTGCTCCCTCCATCCCAGGGGGTGTGAGCCCCTGGCAGACCCAGGATTGGGGGGTCCCCCTATGCCATCCCCACCCTGGGGCCAGGCATTCCTTACAGATGGGATCCGTGGGGCTGTGGTGGTGGGCAGAGTCTGGGTCAGCCCTTGTTCCTCCTCCTTCTGGATCTGCCAAAACACAGCTCAGGTCAGTCTGGGGACACCCATCTGTGTGTCCTCCCCAGACCAACAAAACACCAGGCTCTGCTTGTGCCAAGCTGGCACTGCCCTGCTGATATCCAGCCCATTGCTAGGGCACATCCCTCCCAGCATGGCCAGCCCTCAGCAGGGCTCACCAGTGAGTCTGTTGGAGATTGCACAGGTGACAGCGTGTTGGGACCTCTTGGCTGCACCCTCTTCACCTCCTGGATGGAGAGGTGGAAGAAGAAGGAGAGAACAGCTCTGTGAAGTCTGTCCACTCCATCATGAGGAGGACTTGAGTGGGCCCTGCAGCTCCTGCACCCCTCACCTGGTACTGTGGGGTGGAGGCAGAGGGGTCATCACCAGCCAGGAACGACTTGGGATCCTCCAGCTGCTCAATGACACAAACAAAGGGACAGGTTAGGAGGAATCCTCACCTTCCTGGGGATCTGCTGCCCTAACCCAGCCCTGGATTCTGCCCCCACAGCCCTTCCAGGGACCCCACACGGTACCAGGAGGCGGCTCCAGCCGGCGGGGGTCCGCAGGAAGGCGCTGCTCCCTTCCCTCACATAGACCAGGCTCCCCTCGGGCACAGCGCTGCTCGCCTTCACCATCAGCTCCTTGGACTTGAACACCCACGTGTGGCGCTGGGGGGAGGCAGAGGGTGAGGGTCCTGCTGGGGGGGTTTGCTGGGGCAGCTGGGGGGGTTTGCCTGGGGGTGCAGCCTGGACGCACCCGGAGATCAGCGCGGGAGTCCGATGGCTCTGCCTGAGGGACACCAGCATCTGGAGAGCCCAGAGATGGTGAGGGGTCACAAGGTGTCCCAGAATAGGGCCTGGATGCTCCCATGGGAGCTGGCCCCACAGGGATGTGGTGGGAGTGGGTGGCAGAGGCAGCAGTGGTGCCAGGGAGCCAGGCTGGCATGGCCCCAGCACCCAAGGAAGGGAGGAAGACTTCAGGAAATGTCTCCACCTGGGAAACGCCCTCACCTGATGGCCAGCTGCGGTCTGTGGATGCCTGTGAGGGCAAACAGAGCCTGTGGCTGCTGCTGGGCACAGGGAGGGGACAAGGACACTCTTGGGGACAGCAAGGCTGTGGCTTACCGGCTGCTTGCAGGGCGGCTGGGCATGCACGGGGTGCACCCTCTGCAACCAAAGACAGGTAGGTTTGGGGTTTGGGGGGCCCTGGTGCTGTGCACACTCACACAGGTGTGCGTGTGCTCTGGCACAGGCGTGTGCACACCAGGGCTGGGCCTTACATTGAGGTAGAGGAGGCCTGGAGGGCCAGGGGGGCCGGGGGGCCCAGGGGGGCCGGGGTTCCCGGGGGGACCTCGAAGAGCCTGCAGAGGAGCAGTGAGGAGGTTGGACTGGGCTGGTTTGGGGCTGTGACACCCAATTGATGCCCCCCATGTTCCCATTCCTGTCCCCTCCCAGGGCTGAGTGTCCCTGGCTGGGGCAGCACACAGGCCAGGAAGGAGACTCTCACATGGGGGATGATGGCTCCATAAATCTCTGGTTCCTCTTTGCCATCCTGCAAAAGAAGAGGGAGAGACTGATCTCCATCTTCCCTCTGTCCATTTTCCCTTCTCCTCCCCTCCTTCATCCACCCATCCGGGTCCTGTGGGGTGAAGCATGTCCTCAAGGCTGGGCTGGGGTCCCCGGGCACCCCTTCCCCATGCCACTCACCGTCTGGTACCTGCTGATGGAGCCCCATGAGCCGGGCTGGCTGCCGGTGCTGGGGAAGGGGAGGTGCCCTGGTTTGCACCCGTGCTCCCCATAGCAGCACCCCTGGGTGAGACACAGAGAGAGGCAGGGTTAGAGCCTGTGCTGAGGCTGGGGGTGGCTCTGGGCATGTTTAGGGGTCGCACAGGTGAGCACACGCGTGCGTCTGTGTGTGCCATGCTGTCCCTCCTCCCCCACCATGTGCCCCAAGGGGATGTAAAGGGTGTTGGGGGGGCAAAGGCAGCACAGAGGGCTCAGGGGTGGGGATGGCACCCCCCAGCCTGCTGCTCTCCCCCCACACTACAAACCGGCTCTCCAGGGTCGCCCTTTTCTCCCTGGAAGGGAAGTGAGAGATGTTGTCAGTGCCCAGCTCTGGGGGTCCCCAGGCTTCCCAAGCCCCCCAGGCAGTGCTATGCCTCTCAACCAGGGTAGATGGTTGGTCAGGGTGCCAGGAGCCCTGCCCATGGTGCCCAGCTCACCTTGGTGCCCGGCAGCCCGGCCAGCCCGTGGTGTCCAGCATGGCGTGAGTCACACTGCAAAGAGAGGATGTGTGGGGTGATATGCGTTCCCCCCCACTCCCAGGACCCGCAGCTTGGGACCCCCTACTCACCCTGTAGTCCCCTGGTGGTCCTGGTGGCCCCATGGGACCGGGCATGCCTGGGGACCCTGGTTCTCCAGTCCGGCCAGGGCTCCCTGGCATGCCTGGCAGCCCATACTCGCCCTTCTCGCCCTGAGGGCAGATGGCACAGGCTGGTGAGTGTGGAGCTGAGCCCCTGGGCTCCCCCAGGCCCCACTGTGGCAGGACTGGGACAGCCCTGGAGTGCTCAGAGGGCTTGGTATTGGGGCTGCTCCCCCAGGGCAGGGTGGGGCGCTGGTGAGCCTGGGTGCCCCATCCCACCCCAGGGGCTATGGAT